GTGTGTGTGTGTGTGTGTGTGTGTGTGTGTGTGTGTGTGTGCATATGGGTTCTCTTCTTTGACAAGGGTACTGGGGATGGAACTCAGGTCATTAGGCTTGTAGAGCAAATGCTTTACCCACTGAGCAATCTTGCCAGCATCCAGCTTTTTTCTTTCCAAAATTCTGGTATTGTGGGTTGAACTCTGGTCTTTATGCTTACAAGGCAAGCTTGCACTGAGCTATCTGCCCATTCCTAGAAACCTCTTTTTACGGGGCTGGGGATATGGTTGAGTAGGTTGGAGTGCTTGTCTTCAGTCCCTAGCACTGTATAAAAACAGGCTTGGTGGTATATGTCTGCAATCCAGAGACAGGAGGAGCAGAAGCTGAAGGTTATCCTCAGCTAATTAATGAGTTCAAGGTCAGCCTGGGCTATACGAAACCCTGCCTGAAAAAAGCAAACAGAAAAAGAAAGATTTTTTTTTCTTTACTGTACTAGTTACTTGTCTTATGGCTGTGACATCATTTGACACAAGGAGTGTCAGGAAGGAAAGATGTGCTTTGGCTCACAATCCTAGGGATGCAGTTCATCACGGCAGCGATGCCTGGCTGCAGGAGCAGCAGGTGACTGATCACATCTTGTCCACAGTCAGGAAAGGAAGAGTAATGTCTGTTTTCCCTTTAATTCAACCCAGGTCCTCAGCCTGTGGAAGCCTCCCACCCACGTTAGAGTGGATATTGCCACCTCGGTGAACCTAATGTAGACTCACACATACATGCCCAGAGGTTTGTTTCCATGGTGATTTCTGAATCCGGCCCAAGTGACAACACTAACCCTCATGTTCTAATGGAATTTTTCAGAAACCTGAGGTTGACTCTTGCTCTCCCTACAAGTGGAATTGCTGTGGGTTTTCTTGCATTTACCTGGGGGCCAGGTACTTTGTCCCTCAGAAAGTTTCCTCTTCATGCTAGAATTGCCCTTGCAAGCCTGGAGGCAATTCTACCACTAGTCTAGAGGAGAAAGGGTCTCTGAACATCTCTTCATAGCTGTCTTTCATAATTACACTAAAAAGAGTTGTTGAAGCCAGGCACTGTCCAAACAGGTTCCACGAAGCTGTTCGAGGGGGATTCTGATTGCTTGTGAGAAAACTCCAGAAGAACAGGGCTCAGACCTCCAAGCACAAAATTGTTCTTGGAACGTGCTTCCACGCCCCTCACCGGTGTGTAAAGTCGGAGTGGGTTTCCTGAAGATTATCGTACTGCTCAGATGATGTTCCTGATCTCGGCTTGTCCTTGGGATCGTACACAGACTAACTCATATGAACATGCACTCATGACTGCATACAGCTTAAACTCATGAGAATTTTGTTCATATGACCTTGCTTAACCCTCAGAATATAAATGGTCTGATGTCCTCAATAAAGTCGGTTATTGCATGAAATGTTAGTTTGCCTCATTTTCAGGCTCCACTCTCCCAGGTTCACACCGCCAATTAGAATGATAACAAGGCACGATGGTACAGTCCTGTAAACCCAGCACTTGGGAATCATGGGGACTGTAGGATCAGGCATTCAAGGCTAGTGTTGCTGAAATGGTATGTTCAAAGCTATTCTGGACTATACAAGATTTTGTCTCTCAAAAGAAAAATAAAGTAAATTTAAAATCTAACAGGCTATTGGGGTCCAGCCCTTGAGAGCCTTTTCCTAGGGTCCGTGGAAGAATCTACAATCAGCTGATAACCTAATCTTAGATGATATCAAATGAATCTATGTACATGAAACTCTTTAGTCCATTCACTTATTCTTCTGAGTCAGTTCTCTCTCTACATGACTTCTTTTCTGCTCTCATGCCTAGCTCCTTTCTTGTCTGATTCTCTCTACATTTTTCTGCCATTCCCTTTAAGTGCTGTGTTAATTCATCTAGTTCCGCACCATCTTGGTTCTCATCCATCTAGTTCTTCCCCATCTTAGTTCCTCTTCTTCCTTAGTTCCTCTCTTTATTCTTCTAAGTTCTTACTCTTGTTCTTCCCCATCTTCTTCTTTCCCATCTAGTCCTCCTCCATCTAGTTCTTCCTCCTCTGGTTTTTCTCCATCTTCCATCTCGTTCTCCTAGTTCTCAATCTAGTCCTCCTCAAGTCTCTTGAGGTTTACAATTATAGACCCATGTAATAGCAATGCTCTGGCTAAGGCAAGGTCACCAGACTTGAATTCCTCCTGGGTCAAAGGGAGGGGCAATAAGGTCCCCACAAAGAGCAGTAATTGTCAGCTATCATTTATAACCCAAAACGGCAGTGACTAATGGGAAATAGAATCAACTGAGGGTCAAATTTGGTTAATACCTAAGCAAAGGGGATTTTGTGAACTCAAACTATATTCTTAGAAGTGGTTTGATAAGGTATTAGGAGTCTATCAGTGGTGAGTGAAAATAAAACTGCCTTATTTTCCTTTGGTCCCTTATCTGTCCAAGCTATCTTGACTGACGCCATTTTCTGGCAGGGCAGGGGAGAGCACTTGGTAGCTAGGCAACCTGAGTCACAGCTTGAGGTACCTGGTAAGAAAGAACCCTTTACTTCTGAGTTAATTGATCTAGAGCAGAGATAGCATTTGGAAGAAAAAAAGCTAAGCTTAATTAGCACTTCTGCCAGGTCTCAAACAGATAGTCTGGATGCTTAAGTCTGTTCTTAGAAAGTCTGGGAGGCATCTCAGATAAGGTTCTGGCCAGATGTTACTAATGACGATAACTACAGAAAGGCCTGAAATTGGGGATCTTGACTGTGTCTGTTGTTAGCACAGTTGGAGAAAGTTATACAAATACTTTAATTGTATAGGGTAAATTGTGCCCAATGAATGATCAACACACTATTCTTAGGAATGGAAAAGCTACAGTAGCACACGAGAAATTCATAGCAGGAAACAGCTAACATTCAAAAGCCAATACCACCAAGACTCTTTAAGCCTTGGCTTTATCCCCTGGAAGGCCCTTGGCTTCTTCCAGGTACAGCTTTGTCATAGTCAGCTGAATTCCTACTTCATACTTCTGTGTCCTGCAGCAAAAATCAAAACAGTTATGGAGGTAGGCCTGATCCCCAGTACCAAATAAA